ACCAAAGCTTGCTGCAAGGCGATGGAGAGGGGAGTGTCTTGCAATCATCTGTTACTGACATCATCAGGGTGGCACTCTTTAAGTGGATAAATGCCCTGCTCTGGTTCCCACTTTGCCAGGTGACTGCTTTTAAGGAGGAGTCACAAACCTTGAAAGTACTGCTGCTGTTTATCTCACAAGTTAGAAAATAAAATTAATCACGCTAATAATGAACTGTAGCCTCATGCTCCCCTGGCCTGCAGGGATGTCAGGATGTGAAAAATATTTCCATAAATTTGCCAATAGTCTGCACCGAGTTGGTGATTTTCTGTGTTTTAAATCCCACAGAAACTCAATACATTAACAAACACATATACACTTTTAAATCAGTGTTCCAAATATTAACAAAACAGTAACCTGACCAGCAAAAATACAGACTCTGCTTGAACCTGCTACTAACTGCAAATCAATGGACAGCTCTCTTAAGACAAAACAACAAAACCTTTGCTTTTTATGTTGTTAATGCTGAATCAGCTAAAATTTGTAATCGCTGCAAATGTATCATTTAATAAGGCTTTTATTTTAAATTCTGATCAACAAAATGCTGACTTTTCATCTACTACATATCTACTTATTGGACTCTTTGAATATACATGAATATACCCATTACTCCTACGTCAACAAACAGGGAATTCTAGGAATTTGCAAACATTAGTTTCATTTTTGTAAATAGTGTTTTTTCTCTTCCCTCCACGGAGCCAGTGAGATTCCTTGGTGGCCATCACACCACATCACTCTTCAAAAGATGTCAATAAACCTGACATGCTGCTTTTCAGATTAGCTTTGAATTTTAGAGCTACCATAATTAGCTTTTCCATTTCCACCAATGTCATTTAAAAATAGCGTGAAAGAAACTAACAGCTCTTTTGCTGTCTAGCCTTGCTTTCACTTTCCATTTGAAATAATCTTTTCTGAATGAACGGCTGAGTAATTAACAGCACTAGACACCCTTTTCAGAGAGCAAAGACATTTCATAAATAATACATATTTAATGTCTTGTCATTTTGTGTTCAGAGAAGCTTGGCTAATGAATTTTAACAGATGATTTCTTCTTGCATTTACTCACCCATACATGGGCCTCTGTTTCTTTTACTTTAAATTTTATGCCTGCTTTTCCCTTTTCTTGCTGTTCTTTTCTAGTTATGGACAAACTCAACAGAGCTGGTGATTTATATTTACCTTGGCTAGTGAATGTTTGAGTACAGTTACGGAAGCTCACACAGGCCACCCTAAATTATTTTAATGCTGATTTTACTTTGTGTGGTCTGGTTGGGGCTAAGAACGGGCACTCAGTTATCGACAGCCGGTACAGATTATCCTATTGTGAGCAGGTTCAGCAATGACAGCTC